AAGCATTTTGAAACTCCGTATATTCATGGAATACTTAACATGTAATCATAAACGTTCGTTCAAAGAAAACTCCCAACGTATTGATGATAACCAAACAGTCAAAATGGGAATCAGCGTGCCTTGGTAATCGATTTACAGAACGGAATAATCGACTATCAGGTCACGCTGAACTCCTCAGTTGATCCAGCATAGTGTGACAATCGATTATCACATAAGTGGTAATCGATTATCAGACCCTGCGGATTCTTGAGTCAGAGCTGGTTCACTTGACAATCGATTATCTTAGAGCAATAGTCGATTATCAGGTCTCTCTGAACTTAGGACTTTCCTGATAAACCAACTTGACAATCGATTGTCATAGGGTGAGAATCGACTATCACAGTCTGCAGGACTTTGGGGACAGAAGCTGCACAGCATGATAATCGATTATCAACAGCAGATAATCAATTATCAGCCAGTTCTGAACCCAGGGCCATCATGTTGAACAAATCATAATCAAGCACATATGTAAGAATTGAATTTAACTATTTTTCTTTAATCAATGCATTCATTCCATCGTGTTCGTTTCTAGACGGATGTTCTAGGTTTCCATCATATGCATACCGCTGTAGGGAGGACTTCAAGCGCCTACTACAGTGGGCCCGTCCAGGAACCTTTGGGGACCAGCGGGTTTTCATCATGTTGGGCTTGTGTACGTACATAGTAGTCAGGTTACGGCTACTACCCGGTTTTGCTAGTCCACTCGCGATGTTTTCATCGTGCCCGGCTCGTTATCGACTTCGGGGACGATGACCGGAATGCAGGGGTGATCCTGTCGAGTAAGAGTAAGCCAGTGGTGTCCCTAATAGTTTAAGTCATGCATTAAGTCATATCATCATCATTATGTTCCTTGTTATTCGAAACAACTTTACAGGTGAAAACTAAACAGTTAGTAACGTGTGGTGTCCCGTACGTTAAGTACAGGTATTGATATGGGTATAGCCATATGGGTTATCACTTCATGTTCTTTTGTTAGATTCACTCCTCAGCTTTTGCTGAGCGTGTAGTTGTTTTTGCTACACGCAAGTAGCCATGACGGAGCAGGTGCCAACCCTGGAGAGCGGTGACGATGGGGAGATGGGCGGCGCACGGACGAACTCTTAATTACTTTCAATAACTTCAGTAATCAATTGGGCATGAACCCACCCTTGTCGTTATTTAGTTTGGACTGAACTTATTTAATTACTTCCACGATTCCTCTGCACTTTTATTACACACGTTTTGGGAGTAACTCCCTGTCATTTATTCCTTTAATTAAAACCCCACCGTTTTCTTATTAAATAATCATTAATGTTTTCGTAACGGATGGTTCTCGGACTGTCCATGTAACCCTACCGGTCTGTTGGGTCACGGGTGAACCGGGTCCACGGAAGGCGGGTGTTACAATATGAATCTAGAAATATAATATTTGTTAACATTAGCATGAGATGTGTGTAAACATATTATATCTACGTATACATTATAGAATAGTGATAAAATTATTGCCATCAGAGCACAACTCCAACAGTATACTTCCTACATGACAATCTCACATGGCATTATCACCCTATCATTGTAACAACCCAACCCGCATAACCCAAATACTTAGGCTTTCGAACCGGGTTGCTACTAATATAATATCCAATACATATAGTATTTTCAAAATAATTTGGATGTAGTTATAAACTTTATTAATTTTTTTTTAAAAAAAGAAAGCTTGATGTTGCTTTTAATAAAGTATTCATTATTTTTCCTTTTATTACATCTCAAAATAAAGATTTAGATACGTTTTAATACATGTACATCAATATTTGAACTAAAACTTTTTTCTAAAATGAGATATTTTATAGTTAGAAATTATTTGTCAAACATATCATATATGATTATTAAAGAATTTAAAATAAATGATATTTTATTTCTTAGATGTCAAAAATTAGAATATATGTAAGCCCGTGCGAAGCACGGGTTAACACTAGTTACTCCGTATATACGTAGACCAAATAAACTATGATACAGAGTACTAAACATGACCAAGTTTAGTATTGAATGTATAGAGATAATTTCCGGCTCCAAAGACCAGAGATAAAGATACTACTGAATGGGATTCTCTAATTCCCTTTATTGTTGTTTGTTTTAAAAAAACATTCATTGCCTTTCCTATTTGTAGGTTTTCGATTACCCAGTATAGGCTTTTTCTATTCCCCGCTCTATAGTCGTGTTTCCCATTCCCATTCCTTATTTTAACCGTTCTCCCCCTTCCCCAACCCTTCTGTTTCCTAGTCGCCGCTCCCTTTCTTCCTCGCCGCCAC